GACTCTTAAGAGGGATTCACTACAGCAAAATGTGTCATTTACCTCCCTCATTTATGTCTGTTTTCAAAACCAGAAGAGACTTCATGTCTGTTTTAAACAAAACAGACGTGAACTCACGTCTGTTTACAAAAACCAAACGTGAATTCACGTCTGTTTGTGTGAACAGACATGAATTCACGTCTGTTTCTCCATAACAGACGTTACTTCACGTCTGGTTTTTGTAAATAGACGTGAAGGGGCTTTATTTTTAAAAAAAATTTGCCCAGCTGCATCCTATGCTCGCATCAGTACTATCAAATCTGCATGTACCGCGCGCGAAGAACCTCCAGCTCGCAGCTTTCTCGCGCCCAAGTTTCATTTTCGATCTCTCCCTCTTATTTTCCTCTTGTCCGTGAAGTAGCCGTGAGCTACTCAGTATTTTGGTCTCTCCTCTTCAGCTCTTCAAGGCCGTAGCCCTCCCTCCATTGCGTCACGCATTCTGTAGTAGCCGTGTTGCAGCAGCTCGCCGTTGAAGCCGTGAAGATCTGCGTGTACTGCGAAGAACCTCCAGCTCGCAGCTATCTCGCCATTGAAGCCGTGAAGCTGACACGCACTGTAGTCCGTTGATTCGAAGGCACGCCCGAACAGTGAAGGTAAGTTTATTCAACCGTTGCATTGTGGGTTTAGTGTGTTGTGCGTGGGTTTGAGTAGCTTGAGGAGTTTTGAATTGGTTTCTGAGGTTGCTATTTAAATTTTTACTGAAGAATTGTGTTTAGATAGTTTTAAATTTGTATATATTGATTTGGGTAGAAATTTTAAAGATTTCAAACCTTGTTAATCTTGCTAGAAAAATAATGCATACAAGGTGTTTGTCAAAATGCCTAAGAGGGACTGCATTAGATAGTTTGCTATATGTATTGAATTTAGATTAAGGATTGGGTATACATTAAATGATTAATGAAAAAATTGCATTTAGATAAGTTAAAATTTGTTTATATTGATTGGGTAATAGATTTGAAGTTCGAAATCATTTGCTTGGAATTGGCATGATTTATGTTGTAATTGGAATGAATCGGATTCAATTGATATAATTAGTTTTGAATTTGGTTAATGTTTATTGGGACTGTGCTGAATGGAATTAAATTGTTTATAATTCCTTAGGTAGTAATGGAATGGATCATAGTTGGATGAATGCTTTGAGAACAAGTGATAAATATGAGAACGGAGTAGAACGATTTATTGAATTTGCTAAACAGAATGCTCCTAGCAGTAACGGAATGTATTTTTGTCCCTGTGTCAAGTGTTTAAATGAGAGGCGACTAAGTGTTAATGATATTAGAGATCACCTGCTTTGTGATGGTATAAATCTTTGATATACAAGATGGATATGGCATGGTGAAGTAGGAACAAGTTCAATACTCGAAGAAGAGGAAGTTATGGATGATGTAAATGATAGAATGAGCGATATGATTCGTGATGTAGGAGTAGAGTTCTTTGTGCGATCACATGCAAATGATAACTTGAAGAGTGATGCAGAGATGCCTTTGTACCCTGGGTGTTCTAAGTATACATGATTGACAGCTGTATTGAAATTGTTCAGTTTAAAAGCAAATAATGGGTGGATTGACAAAAGTTTCACAGAGTTGCTTCAATTGATTAGTGATATGCTTCCAATTGATAACGTACTTCCAAATCGTGTGTATGAGGCAAAGAAAATCTTGTCTCGGATGGGTATGGGCTATGAAAAGATACACACTTGTCCTAATGACTGTGTATTATACAGAAAAGAGTATGCTGGTCTACGTGAGTGCCCAAAATGTAAAACTTCACGATACAAGGTGAAAAAGAACATGGACTGTGCTGGTAACTATGATGGTGATGAGACAAGTAAAGGGCAACCTTTGAAGGTGTTATGGTATCTTCCGATAATACCACGATTTAAGCGCTTATTTGCTAATGCAACAGAAGCGAAGAAGTTAAGATGGCATTTTGATGAGAGAATATCAGATGGAAGATATCTTTGGCACCCTGCTGATTCTCCTCAATGGCAGAAAATAGATGAAATGTTTCCAGAATTTGGTCTTGAACCAAGAAATCTTTGCCTTGGGCTTTGTACAGATGGAATCAACCCTTACGGTACTCTTAATAGCACACATAGTGCATGGCCAGTACTGTTGGTGATTTACAACCTACCTCCCTGGTTATGTATGAAGCGCAAGTACATGATGCTTTCTATGATGATTTCAGGACCGAAACAACCAGGAAACAATATCAATATCTACTTGGCACCTTTAATTGAAGATTTGAAGATGTTGTGGGAAGAAGGCATGGATGTGTTTGATGCATACAAGCAGGAGTCCTTTAAGTTGCGTGCCATGATCTTTACAACGATAAATGACTTTCCTGCATATGGAAATCTATCAGGATATAGTGTGAAGGGGCATAAAGCATGTCCTATATGTGAAGCAGACACATACTTCCACCAACTTAAGCACGGAAGGAAGACAGTTTACCTCGGTCACAGGAGGTTTCTTGATCGGTTCCACCCATACCGGAGATTGAAAAAGGTTTTTAATGGCTCACCAGAGCATGGCATAGCTCCAAAGGCATTAACTGGAGAGGAAGTTTACCAGCGAGTTGAAAGAATCAATGTCATTTTCGGTAAGGCTCAAAAAGCTGCAAGTGAGAAAAACATATGGAAGAAGAGGTCTATTTTCTTTGATCTTCCATATTGGCGCAGTCTTGATGTAAGACACAGTATCGATGTGATGCATGTGGGAAAAAATGTGTGTGATAGTCTTATCAGTACTCTTCTGCACATACCTGGAAAAACTAAAGACAGAATTAATGCAGGACTTGATCTGGCTGAAATGGGCATTCAAGAGCGCTTACATCCATAATTGAGAGAGGGTGGTAAGCGGGCTTATATGGAACCTGCGGCCCACACATTGTCTAAAGTCAAAAAAAACAAGCTTGTGTCGGTGTTTGCATGACATCAGGGTGCCCCAGGGGTATTCTTCTAATGTGAAAAGGCTTGTCTCAATGCACGATTTGAAGTTAGTGGGAATGAAGTCTCATGATTATCATGTACTGATGCAACAACTATTACCCGTAGCTATTCGAGGCACAATGAGAGATGATGTGAGGAGCACTATAACTAGATTATGTATCTTCTTCAATGCTATTTGTAGCAAAGTCATTGACATAGAGAAATTGGACGAATTGGAAAAAGAGGGTTATGTTATCTTGTCTCAACTAGAAATGCACTTTCCCCCAGCATTTTTTTATATCATGGTGCATTTGATCATTCATTTAGTGAGGGAGATAAGGCTTTACGGTCCTATTTTTCTAAGATAGATGTATCCATTTGAGAGGTACATGAAAGTCTTAAAGGATTATTCTAAAAATCATTATCAACCTGAAGCATCAATTGTTGAAAGGTATGTAGCGGAAGAGGCTATGGAATTTTGCAAAACATATCTATCTATCGCTAAGACACCATCTCGGCATGAAAACGGTACAAGTAAAGGAATCAGGGGGCTGAAGGTAAAGAGTATGGGTCATGAAGAAGTGTTACAAGCGCACTTATACATATTGAATAATATGGAAGAAGTGCAGTCGTATTTAGATGATCACAAAAAAAGTTTAAAAGAAAAGTATCCAAGGAAAAGTGATATGCAGATAGCTAATGAGCATAACAAAACATTTATAACATGGTTCAGTGAAAAAGTTTTGAGAGAGGCCAATGTATCTGATACAATAAAATGGTTAGCTTGGGGTCCTTGTTTTGAAGTTATCACTTGGAGTGGATACGACATAAATGGATATTCCTTCTACACAAAAGCTCAAGATGACAAAAGTACTGTGCAAAATAGTAGGGTAATAGTGGTTGCTGAAACGATGCATTTTTCGAGTTCGAAAGATAAAAACCCCAAATTGGCATCTATGGCTTATTATGGAGTTATTGAAGAGATATGGGAGGTAAACTACACCAATTTTAAGATTCCTATCTTCAAATGTAAATGGGTCAACAACAATAGTATTGAAATAGATCAACAATTTGGATTTACATTAGTTGATCTTGGCAGGGTTGGTTATGCAGATGAGCCCTTCATTTTAGCAAGCCAGGCAAAACAAGTATTTTATGTTACTGATCCAGCAAATAAAAAATTGTCTATTGTCCTTCAAAGTAAAAAGCAGAAGGACAGTGATCCTACCATGAATCTTGATGAGACACCACCTTTTGCTTCAAATTCGCCTAGACCAAATGAAGTAGAATTGGTAGATAATGATGAATATGCTGCAAGAGATGATCATTGTGAAGGGATATGGGACAATGCATAAAGTCAGATTAAGTAATGTAATTTTGCAACGTACCTTGTGTTATTTTCTTTCATTTATTTCATAGCAATGTACTTGATATTATTTATATATTAATACAATTCACTATAATTTACTTATTTATCTAATTTTGGTTTTTCAACAGGCACATGGAGGAGGATTTTGATGCCAATATGGAGGAGGGTTGTGAGAGAGATATGGAGGAGGATTATGACATCGATGATGTCAATCAGCAGGAAGGAAGGAAGGTTAGAGGTAGTACAAGGCTACCAAAGTTAGCAGTACGTCATGGTCGTATTCAGAAGAGGCATGTGGATTTTGATGCCAATATGAGAAGGACAGATTCATTAGCTATATAGGCTCCGTTGCCCGAAGCAAAGTTAATATTCTATGGCCTAATTGGAAGTCAATTTCTAAGGAGACGAGGGATAGGATTTGGGAATATATTTTGGTATGTCACTTTCTAATTTTATTTCATTTGTTTTATTGTAAATATAGTTATAACTAAGATCTTTAACTCAAACATATATATTTTTCTTTGCAGCAAACGTATGACATCCCTCGTACTGAGCAAATGAAAAAGCATTTGTTGCAGTAAGTTCGTCAGCGCTGGAAAGATTTTAAGCACACACTCACGAGCCAGTATATGCGAGGGCCTAAGAAAGATGATGATCCGTGAGAAAAATACTCCTTCCTTGATCCAGATGATTGGAGGAGGTTTGTGGCATCACGACATGATCCTAAATTTCAGGTACATTGCCTTATAAAACATTTAATTTTGATTTAATTTACTTCACTTACTCAATTTACTTTGTTTTCTTTTCCACAGGAATTAAGTGCGATGAATAAAGAAAGGCAAGCTAAAAATTTATATCCGCACTATTTATCCCGTGGAGGTTACAAGATGCTTGAGGAGAGGATCATGCAGAATGACTTTAAGGCGATGTAGGAAGCTGCAAAATCTGATCCTAGTATCGTTGTTCAGACCCCACCTCCTCCTCCACGTCATAGAAAATGGAAGGAAGCAAGGATAAAGAAGGGTCAATATATTAATCCAGCAGTTGCTGAGATTGCTAAAAAAATTGTAAGTTGTATAATTCAAATAACTTTAACTTATGGTAATATTCCTTATATTTTATCATTAATTTTCATTTATACTGTCATTAATTTTTTATCATACTTAAAATGTTATAGGAGGTACTTGAAGAGCAAAGCAGTGAAGGTTCATTTAGTCCGAGTGGAAGGATGGATATTTTAGCGACAGCGATTGGGAAGCCTGATCACCCCGGACGCGTTAGAGGAGAAGGGAGGACAGTTGGTCTTACCCAATATTTTGGACAAACTTCACAAGCTTCTCTACGAAGTCAGCCCACTGATGAGATGATAGCTAAACTTCGAGACCAAGTTCGTGATGAGCTCCAATCTGAGCTAGAGGTCAAGATTGAGGCCCAGTTACGCCAGTCATTTCGAAAAGAGCTTATGGCTGAGCTTCGTGATGAGATGAAATCTATGGTCTCTAGCATGCAAATTGGGATAGTTCAACAACAATGCACACCCAGGTTTGTAATCAATTTCACTTAAATTGATGTTGAGTTTTACCAACGTTTTTTATTTAATTTAATAATTGCATTTCTCTCATTTAGGATTCCCCCGTCTTTCCTAGCACTAAAGACAGTTGTAATCCACCGGGGGCATTGGGAGAGCATGATCCTAGTAGTCCCATGCCGGACTTTGGACAACCTTGTTGTCTTCGTTTAGAGGTCCCAAGGATGCATGTTGTTGCTGACGCTCTCCTCTACAATCAAGGGAGCACTATCCATCACCAACATATTCAAGAGGACCAAGTGAGGGTTACAGTTACCACTGTTCGAGAGGGAGAGACAGGTGCGGATGTGCCATTCCCGACTGCTGAAGTTGTGAAGTTAGGTCAGGCAATTGGAACTTTCATTCTTTGGCCTAGATACCTTGTTGATGAGGAGATAATACCTGTGATGGTAAGAAAATGTTATTCTATATTGTGTGCATTTTTTTAACATAATACTTCTAATACTTATTATGTTTATTTGATATTTCATTAGGACCAGGAAGATGTTAATAGATATCCCTGCTTGGCACAATTATATGAGGAATATAAAACAATTAACAAGGTCGACATAAAGATGCCTGTAGGGATTGTGGGTGAAGAAAAATCATATTTCTTTGGACTTGACAACAAAGACATCAGGGATTTCTTATCCTTGAAGGAGTTGGACATAGCATGGGTTTAATTAGCAATCATGTAAGTTTACTTGTTCATTTCTAACTTAAATTTCTCATTTCTTACTTTCACATACTAATAATTATCTTATTTCAATTCAATGATAGCTTCTTCCATAACAAATGCATGTCATCAATGGAGAAGAGAAATTTGTATGGATATTTATGCCCTGCAAGTGTCCAGAAGAAGTACAGCCCACTAGATAGGAGAATCAGATATGTGGGCAATACGATTGGAGACACTAAATTACCTTGTTATTTGGCACCAATTATTGAAGGGCAAGTAGCTTAATTATATTTATTTATACATACTTAATTTGTTAAGAATTATTGTGATATCCAGTAATGTATAAGTCTTACTCTATGATGCAGTTGTCATTGGAGTTTGTGTGTTTCTTGTCCCATTGACAATGTCATCTACTGGTTTGATCCCTTGGGTCGTCGTCCAAGCAGTGAGATGAGGGGCATTTTCAACACGTAAGTACCTTAATGTAGATCAATAATTTTGTTTTCAATATAAATTATTTAACTTGTGCTTTCATTTGCTTATAGGGCTTTAAAGACTTATTATATAACTGGTGGGAAGCGTTCCAGCAAAAATGGCTCAACAACTTGGGTATATCCTAGTGTGAGTACTTTAAATTGAAGTTCTTTCATTGATGACAGTTATTTTATATATGAATTTGGATTATCATTTCCTTGTGATTTGCAGTGTGCTAAGCAACAAGAGCCAACAGAGTGCGGATACTACATTATCCGTTATATGTTTGAGATTATTGAGAGCGGATGTATCACAAAATTTGATGAGGTAAGTAAATATAATTTTAGTTTTGTAATAGTTGAATTTTTAAATTGAATTGTTACTTATTTTATTTTCTTCCTATGTTTAAATTTGTTCATTTGTCAATTTACAGATTTTTGATAATGATTGTTCATATACTATTGATAACATTAACTTCATCCGAGACCTTTTGGCACAGCAACTGCTTCAAGAATTGTGGTCCAGGGATTGATCAAGTTTATGTTTAGAGACAATAGGATCAATATTGACTTTTGTAATTTGTTCTTCTTTTTTGACTAGTTAGTTAATTAATGTCTCTATATAGATGAAGTTATGATGTTGATATATCTTGGCTGAAAATATTGACTAGTTCATACTATTTCAACTTGCTGGAAAGTGGCTATTATGGCTATTGTGTGGCTGTAGGGAAAGTAGTATATACGAATTGAATCTTTTTTTTAAAAAAAACAGAGGACATTCACGTCTGTTCAGCGAAACAGAAGTAAAAAATCGATTTTTTACTTCTGTTTGAAAAAACAGACGTGAATTCACGTCTGTTTTTTCTAACAGACGTGAATTAACGTCTGTTCATAACAGAAGTAAAAAGGGGGTACTTTTTATGTCCCTTCTTTTCATGTCCCCTGCAAAACAGACGTAAAAAGTCATGCAAAACAGAAGTAAAAAGTCTTTATTGTAGTAGCAATTGTAACCTTACGGGTAGTAAGGGGGAGTAATTGAGAAAATCAATTGCTATACTGAGGAGCCAAGAGCCTGTTTAATCTTGGATCATAATGGAAATCTCAGAGATGTTCTGAGGACTGGACATAAGTCAAGTGGTTAAGACTGAACTAGTATAAATCTGGTGTCTTTGATCTGTAGTGAAATCTTTCTAACTTAAAGCTCTCTGTTTTTATTAATTTCACTGCTTCAATTTTGTTAAATTTTTTATAACTCACCCAATTCACCCCCTCTTGGATGATACTGCTGCTAACAAAAGTTTTTATGCATAAGATCATGTGCCAACGTGGCTGTACTATGCATAATGAGTTTTCACAAAAATTACACATTTGGACCATACTTTTAGAGAATATTACAGTCAAATACCCAATCTCTCTACAAAAATTACACTTTCAACCCTATAATAACCCATTCTTCAACTTAGGCTTTCTGGAAACTGAGGAGAATCATAAGAGCACTAGTGGGGTAAATTTTCTTTATTGGCCTCTTTAAGATACGTCTAGCATATTGTGGAGGTTACCACTCATAATTGTTGCTGCTGCTTTATTATTGTTAATTATTGTTGTTGTTGTTTTACTGTTTGCTGCAATTTATCAGGGTAATTATTTGCTAGCTTTTATTTGTTAGCTTTTAATTTATAGCTAAAAAAAGAGGAAAACAAGGAAAAAAAGAGGAAAAAAGAAAGAAAAAGAAAGAAAGAGAAAAAAATATTATTGTGTTTCCTTTTAATTCAATTGTAGGTTCCCTTGTTTGATTGTTTATTACTTCTTCTTATTTTGTTGCTTGTCCTTTGCATGACCATTTGTGAAATCCTAGATAGACACAGCCTTTGAGCTAGAACCCAATTCCTTTAAACCTCGAATTTGTCATATTGAATCCCAAATGGATCAAAACTATCAAACCCTTCAATCCCAGATCTTTAAACTCACTAAATGCCTAAAGAAATTGATAGATGAGATTAAGCAAAACTTTAATGCCAAATATCAAGAGCTTAGAGACTCTAACAAGGCTTTTGTCATTTATATTGTGCATGAGAGTTGGTGAATGGAATTGTGAGGTTTTATATGTGTTTTTGCATATTTTGTGTGATTCTATATGTGTGTACTTTTGATTTTTTGTTTGGTATAAATCATAGGAAGCTTTACTAGCATTTTGGGCCATTTTGTCTTAGGAGCCATAACACATTTCCTAAAGCGCTGCGGCGTTTCCACAACATGACTCTCGGTACTAGGCACAGCGGAGAATATTCAGAAGTGCCACGATAGATTTAGTTTAATAAGGAGCATAACATTACTAATTTAAATGACACTGTTTTAGCTATGCACTAAGGTGGATATGCGAAAGCGCCATGGCAAACAATGAAATTTCCATATTTAATACAAGAATCGTGCACTCGTCCCAAATCACTCTCTGTCACATCTAGTAATTTGGTAAATAAGAGTAGGGATGTTTTCCAGGTACTTAAGGGCTATAATAGTAGGAAGAAATGGGATGACACAATTCTTAAAGTTAGGTTAGTGTTGGGGTAAAAGTGTGACTTTCAAAAGTTACGGGCAAGTTTATGTAATTTAGGAAAATATATTGAAAATTCTCAAAAATTATTAGATAATTATGAAAAAGAGTAAAGCTCTATGGACAGTATACTAGATTCAAAAGTTATAAATATGATAGAAAATAATTATTATTGAATTTTCAGTAATTATGGAGGATTGACTAATTAAGGAAAATTGGTCAAAAATTAATTATTAAAAATATTTCAGAGCCTCAAAAAATTAAAGAAAAATAGTGTTAATGTGACTTGGGAATTATATGACATTATAGAAGTGGTTTTATATCAAAACTACCCCTAGTAAAATTATACAAGAATTTAAGGGCCAATTATGCTAATTGGGGTTGGAAAATTCCAAATAAATACTTTTTAGGATAATTAAATCCCAAAAAAATTCACAAGATTTCTCTAGAATTAATAAGAGATTATAAAGTAGAAAGAAGCCTTTCAAGAGTTCAAAACTCCAGAAATGTCTTCTTGAATAGAGAAATTATTATGGTAAATAAATTAGTTTTTTCTTTACAATTAATAAAAAAATTGTGATGGTAAAACAAGAGAGCATTTTTGGAAGAGAAAAATAATAAGAATGTATTATGGATCTGACAAAAAATAATTAAGGTGCCTAGGATACTGTAATGATGGGATAGGAATTTATTTTAGTGTAAAGTGTACTGTTAAAGCATAAAGTACACTATTGTCTTTTACTTGGCTAGCAATATGCCACTTGTCAAGCTAGGAGTGGAGAGGATTTTGACTTTGTAAATTCAATTTAGTTTGGAATTAAATAAATCATGATAATTAAGGTAAGATGGCATAAGGTTTTGACACATAAGCATGTAATTAGTGTGAACTTGGTGGAAGTAATTAAGACTTGGCTTATAAATAGTCATCTCACTCCCACACACAAACACACATTTTCGTCCAACAAGAGGAAACTCTTGCAAAATATTTTCTTGAAGATCAAGCAAGAAGAAACTACCTATTTTGGTTACATAAGCTTGGAGACAAGGTTATTTTAAGGTTCTATCTTGTCTTGTGCTATGTTTTCTTGAGTTTTATGGTTGAAAGATGTTGGTTTCTCTAATGGGAGGTGCTGGCCGAATTTAGTCTTGCTTGAGGGAGGATTGTCACATCCAGTAATATGGCAATTAGGAATAAGGATATTCCTAAACAATTGAGGGCCAAAAACAATAAGGAGAAATACAAGATTTTTAGTGGAAAATAATTATTATGATTTTCCAAGTTAATTATGAAAGTTTGACTAATTAAGGAAAATTGGTAAAAAATAATTATGAAAAAATATTTTCAAGCCTCAGAAAATTAAGAAAAAAATAAGGATAATATTCCTTGAGAATTGTATGAGGTTATATAATTGGTTTTATGACCAAATTACCCTTAGAAAAATTACAAAGGAAATTAAGGGTGATTTAGGCTAATTTAAGGTCTTTTATTTGGAAATTTCACATTAATATTTTTAAGGAGAATAAAATTCCTATGATATTTTAAAAAATTATAAGAGATTATGGGATTAAAAAGAGACGCACAAATATCCAAGGTTTTTTCTGATTCTTTTGAGGAGTGGAAAAATCAATAGTGAGAAGGATAATAGTTTTCTTTTTTATATAATTAATGGGAATTCGAGTTTAAGCCCAAGATGACATTTTGGGAAGAGAAAAATGAGAAAAATAAATTATGAATCTGACAGAAAATAATTACAGAGGCCAAAGTACTGTAATTATAGAAAAGAAATTAAACTCGGAGTAAAAGTGCACCGATAAAGCAAGAAGTAGAATCTTGCATATTACTTGGCCCACAATTTGCCACTTGTAAAACCCCTAATAGATAGTAATTAAAGTTGCCAAGTGTCAAGTCTTAAATGGAGAGAATTTTGACTTTTGAAAATTAATTTCATTTGGCATTAAGTTAATTAAGAGAGAGATTCAAGACTAATTAGGGAGGTGACACATGACATACTATTAAATATGGTGGTTGGGATATTTTGAGCATTAAAGAGAACTCTTCCTCCCCTACATTCAGATTGCATTTCAGCCAAAGTGAAGAAGTGTTCTTGTCATCCATATTCTTGAGTTCAAGCAAGGAGAAAGCAATCATCTTTGATCAAGTAAGCTTAGAGTTAAGGTTAGTGGATGATACTATGATGTTTGTATCTTGATTCTCTTGAGTTTAATGGTTTAAAATTCTAGTTTTCCCCCTTAAGTGTGCTGGCTGAATTAGTTAATGGTTAGGAAATGGAGTTTTGTTGTTAAACATAGTTAGAATACTTTAAATCATGGTAGTTTCAAGGGGTTTGGTGTTGTTTTTGAAAGATTTTTTGGTTGGTTTTCAAGAGGGACTGTTCGGGCTAGATGAAAGCTGTAACCTAGGATGAGATTTTCAAAGTTTTGATATTTCCATTATGTTTAAAATGGAAAACGGTGTAGGATAAACCTAAAGAACAAGTGTTGGAAGCATTAAAATCAAAGTTGTGATTTTTGGACAAGGAACCCTAAGTGTTTGGTTAGTTTGGATCTTGAGGAAGGAGATTTCTTTTCTTAAATCCAAGTACATATTTGGAATCTATATAAAAAATCATGTAGGAATGAGCCAAGAAATAATTTTTAGGGTTTAGGGAAAAAA